TTTTTTTTTTTTTTTTTTTTTTTTTTTTTTTTTTTTTTTTTGTCGTCCTTCTATATCCTCAAATAAAAACTAGATTATTGTTCTTACATATTTGCTTGTGTAGCAGAAAATATTTGGTAGGAATGGTGTAGCAACATTGATTCACCATCCAGATGCAGCTTCCTGAGAAGACAGCTCAAATGTTGAATCAGCAAGAAACAATCAACTTTTAGTTATACTAGTTACTAAACTTTGTGTATATATTGATAAATACAGGACAGTATCTCATATTTCATCCTTTCGCACTTACCGCTTGTTTGTACAATATTGAAGGAAGATAAGGTAATGATCTTGTTGTACATTACAAAATAGTTTATTCAAAACAATAATCAATTAGAATATGTAATAAATCACAATAATAATTTTGAAATTAAATAGGAAAGAGTGGTTCGGTCAAACTCGACCTACTCCACTCCCCAAGCGCCTCTTGGGAATTTGAATAAAAATTTTCTCCACTCTTTCCACGGATCAGAGCCCAACCACTACACCACTCTTTTTACGAGTTCAATAGTAAATTCAATCTTTTCCACGACGCAGGATCAAATTGATACAAGTAATTGAATTGCTCTCAGATTTATAATTTGGAGCACTCAACTATTTTCTCACCATACAATAAAAAAATCCCTCTGGTGAATAAAAATAAAATTGGAAGTTTGGAGAGCGAGAGAGCAACAATTAATTGAAGATAGAAGCTCTCAGATTTACAATTTAGAGCATTCAACTATTTTTTCACCGTACAATAAAAAAAATCCCTCTGGGAAATAAAAATAAAATTGGAAGCTTGGAGAGAGTAACAACCTTTAGAAAATTAGTTTGAAGACAGTGAAGTTGAAACTTAGAGAGAGCACCAGAGGCTTTTAGAAAATGGAAGAAATGGAAGTAAAGATTAAAAAGTAAATAATAAGAAAATTTTCTAAATTTATTTTTTAGTTTAAATATAATAATATAATATAAAAACAATAAAAATTACCTAGTTAAATGATAAACTCAAAATATATTATAAATATAATAATATAATAATAAAAATGATGTGAGTACCCATAAAAGTTTAAAAATATAATAGTATTATAATATAATACAGTAATAATAAAAATCAATGTGACTAATATTCTTCCAAAATGATAAGTGTCATACTTTGATTTGTCCATCATTTTGATTTAACTGTTACATCATTACATTAGGTATGTTGTCTCAACTGTAATTTCTTCGTTTTAGCTCTGATTTAAGTGATTGAAAATCGTTGAAATCATTATTCCCAACTTTATATGTGTGTAGAATTCAAAAACGTCTATCAATTAATTATTTAAAATTAATTAATATGAGATTAAGGGTCAACAAGCCAACAATTACAACTGTGGGCAGAATTGAGTGAATAGTGTCTCTTATTCACTTTGCAGTTTGATAACTCTATAAATGGAGAATTTCGCGAGAATGGGAAGTGACATAGGTGGTCGGGAAGGTTTCCTCATCCCATCCTACCTCCTAAACATCTCTATTTCTCCTTAACACCAAAAGTAGAATCGATCAAACATTCACCTCGAGCACAAAGGTTTCCTCATCCCATCCTACCTGCTTTCAAATTTTAAAAATAAAAAACATAGTGCTTAAAGTTATTTAGTACAAAACATTCTCCTTTCCAAGTAAGTATGTTTCTTTCTACTTCGGTTATTCGTTTTTGTGTACTAAAATCGAGAGTTAAAACAATCAGACTATCTAACCCGTTCCAAATAAACTTTATCCTCAACACCAACAATGTGTCGATCAACCAATCTCGATTGAAATACGAATATTCTCCAAGTAGATGAAAGAATACGACAAGTTCAAAGTTAGAATCGACAAATGAGAACGTGAGAAGTTAAATATCAAACATTAAAAAAAAATATATATATATATAATATGTAACAACTTAAGACCACCGCTAATAGATATTGTCTATCTTAGTTCATTATATATCATCGTTAGCCTCACGACTTTAAAATGTGTCTATTAAAGAGAAGTTTTCACACCCGTGTAATAAATACTTGTTTCTCTCCCGAACCAACGTGAGATCTCACATAATACATCGTGTTTCCCTGTTTTAGCTTCCCAAGAGTGGTCAGACCAGACAGCAGACAGCAGCCATCAGACATCAGCTGGTCGTCTTCCTCATTTACTCTCTCATCTTCCAAAACCCTAAAAACACAGAAAAACACAGAAACAAGGCAGCTAAGCTTTCCGAGGATGCCCTCTGACTTCTCAACAACTTCCAAGCCCTCATTAATACCTTGTTTCATTTAACATTATGGTCATTTTTTTACGTGCCTTTTCCTTATGTTCTTAATATTTGTGCTTTTTAGGGCATCTTTTCTTTCATTCGAGCTTATTTGCTTCGATTTCATATCGTAATTGGACCCAACGGGCTCGAGAACAAATATTATTCAAGATGGTTGTTACATTCGAGATATTACTACATGTAGTGCCTCTTTTCGATCACATAATTAACCTCACGTACCTGAAAACTTAAGCTTATTTGCCCCGACCTCATATCGTAATTAGACCCAATGGGCTCGAGAAGAAAAATTATTCAAGATGGTTGTTCCATTATAGATAATACTACATTTAGTTTCTCTTTTCAATCCCGTAATTTACATTACATACCTCAACACTTAAGCTTATTTGCTCTGACTTCATATCGTAATTGGACCTAACGGGCTCGAAAAGAAAAATTATTCAAGATAGTCATAATATTACTACGTACATGATGAAAACGTAGACCACATTGAAGGAGAGAGATTAGAAAGCATTATGGTTGTGAATAGCAACCGAGGATCGAAATCCTCCGAGTAAAAAAGCTAATCAACATGACGTCAAATTCGTATCTATCACACATATGGTGACAACCCATCTATAACCAACGGTGTGAAATTATCGGTCACGTAGAGAAATTAGGTAAGAATTCACTCAAGAATAGCAACGGAGAACCCGACCCCTTCTCGAAGGAAATTACTCCCAAGCCCTTCCCGATGACTACGAAAACACAATTGTAAAATTGTCGAACACGTTCAAGGAGAAGGATTAGAAGAAAGCAATCAATTCGAGAAAAGAAAAAAAAAAGAGAAGTTATTCAACGAGCCCGTGAAATTCATAGCCATTACGTATAAAAAGAAAACAAACTCACAGCTAGTAATGCAAAATTGTCGACCATATTAAACAACGATCCACTCGAGACTGGCACCCGAGAACAAATAAAAACAAGGAGAGGTTATAATGGAAGAAAAAGAAGATTAGGGTTTAGTGAGCGTTCGAGTTGAGGGGAATGAAGCCTGGTCCGAAGCCTAACATATATATTTTTTTTTGAAAAGCCTCGAGCCAGCCAACATTCCCCACAACCCCCAACTTCTCTCTCTAAAAGCCCTTCCTCTCTCTAGAAAAAGTGCCCTAAAGCAATGGCACAACCCTCACTGCCCCTGCCCTTAATTTATAGGGTCCCATTCTTTTTACTCTAGAGATAGAAACATACAAGCTTTCGTAATATTATATTATTATTAAAATAGAATATTGAAAAGAAAAAAAAAACGGATATGATCTTATGAAATAAGTGACAAATTTGAACAAAACTTTCGTACTTTCATAGAAAAAAGAATTGTGGAGGTAAAATCTTTAGCCGTGTTCGTGAGTTAGATTGGGTCTGGTCGAATTGAGACATTTTTTAGACCTAATTAATGAACCTAATCCAATCGAACGGTATGGTTGTTCGAATCATTTATATATTTATTTATTATTAAATAAAAGTAAAAATGCTATTTATTTATAGCTAGATTTACCACTCAATTTCCATATATAAAAATTATTTTTAAAGATTTGTTTGAGAATTAAAAAATATATATATAAAATTAAATAAATATAAAATAAAAATTAAGAATAATTGTAAATGAGTTCCGTTCTAACCAATTTAGTTTTAAGATAATCCATGAATCTATATTAAATTTTTATTTATTTGAATCTAACTCAACTCAAATAAGTTTATAACTCAACTCAAACTATACGTGTTGAGTTAGGTTGATCGAATCTTTTTTAGATCATTAGATTAAAAAAAAAAAAATTGAGCGAACGAAAGATCTTGAAGAGCGAGATTACAGAACTCAACAAAGAGAAGAGCTTGCTCTCCTCGATCTTTTCTTGAATATTGATCAATGCTCTCTCGATATTCAAGATTTTCCCACGTCATTGCTTTCCTCTCCCACAGCAATAGCTCGTTCATCGACTGAACCCACAAAGAAAAATACAACAGAAAAATGGTTCGGGTTAAGGTAAATATTTCAGAGTATCAGGAATAGTTATTAAAAAAAAAACAACTATATTGAGACGATCGTATTAAATAATTTGAACAGTTATTAGGAAACCGTCACCACGGGACGGTTGTATTAAATAATTCTTTTCTAAATAGACCTAAGATGAGTCAAATAAACCCTAGTTTCAAATTTCCAATGCATTTTTATTATTGGATTATTAAATAAAAAATATATATATATATAAAAAAAGGGTAATAAGGTGATGATAAGAAAATGATGTATGACCTGCAGTTACCGGTCAATGGGACAGTATGTGACCTGGTATAGGCAGTGGTCGGACATGGACATGGACAGAGACACAGCTGCACGACAAGACAAATGGAGTAATTAAAAAAGAACACTTCACACGTGTCAGTCTTTAATGCCATTTTCATCATTACCTTATTATTATTATTTTTCCTTTAATGCCTTTTGTTTTCTTTCCACCTTCCTACCCGCACGCCCCGGGTGACTTTCATTTCATTACCCTTTTTTGACTCATAAGGGTATTACGGGTACCGGATGACCCGAACAATTAAGACTATTTGACCAAAAGTAGAACGGTCGAGTTGGATAGATTTTTTTAGTTGGGTTCAATTTTTTAGACCATAAATTCTATGACCCGAACAATTAAGATTGTCCGACTTAGTTGGATTGAATTTTTTACTCAATAATACCTTTTAGACCATAAATTCTAAGGGTATTACTAAGATATAATGACCCGAACAATTAAGACTACCCGACTTAAATTATAAGGGTCAAGTTTGGTAGTTTTCTTTAGTTGGGTTGAACTTTTGACTCAATAGTAAGTTTAGACTCTAAATTTTAAGGGTATTCCTATGAGCCAATGACCCGAACAATTAAGATTACTTGACCTAAACGATAAAAGTTGAGTTGGGTTAATTTTTTTATTTTTTTTGAGTAGGGTTGAATTTTTTTTTTTCCTGAAATAACAACTTTT